GACCCATTTACTTTATGGGTTCAAATTAGAGTTTAAACTAGAGTTTTTTGTTATAATTTTTGAAATTTAATTTTTTTATGAGAGAAAAATACTGTAACAGAATTAAAATCTTAAATTTGTACTGTAGTAGAACCCATATACCCAAAACGCCTCATCTCCTTAAGAGTGATGCAAAAATGGCAGTTGCTGCTCTTTACTTACTCAATGATGCTGTAGAAAGGAAAGAATGCTATTTTATCGGGGTTATTCAGATGAATGATGAGACTTATAAGACGTTTAGTTTATGAATTTAGAATTATTATTTATTATTTTAAATTTTAAAATTTAAATTTTTTATGAGAAAAAAATATTATAAAAAATTAAAAATTATAATTCAGAATTAAAAATGAACTCTTAAAACAAACATTCCATTAGAGTTTTAAATCCACCTGTTATTCAATATTCAAGTGTCAAGAGGTCATGTGCCAATAAAACCGCCCTTTCTAAATGCAATATATTTTCCATTGACCTTAATGATGTCGGAACTCTGTTGGATGCAGACTAGTTTACGTATATATACATATGTGAATAATTAAAATGAAATAAAATACAAATTTAAAGGCTTTTTATATGATCAATGACAAGTCGCATTTTATTGATCACGAGGACACGTTTCTCATTCAGTTTAATTTTGTCCATGGTATTTTATAAAATTTTAATTACCCCTCATCTTATAAAAAAAATTACAATTGTGTCTCCAATCAATAATTAAAATATATAACTACATTATTATTTAATAAAAAGTACTTTTTTAACTTTTTTTTCATAGTGGCCCACCGAATAAATTTTGTGGCTCCATTATTACTAAATGTGAGAAAACTTGGCAACACCGAGTCACTAACGCGATAAAGATAAGAATAAATGCATTATTTATGCCTCAAAATTAGGAAATTCGTTAAAAACAAATTGTGCAAGTGAAACACCAGTGAAGATCTTTCATTTATAATATCTGAACATGATTAGCCGAGAACAATTTTCCTACTCGATCACTTACAAATATTGCCTGCTTAACGTGTAATGGAAATTTTTTGTCGTCCCTTTCATAGATATCTTCATTAGTTATTTCTAACCCACTTATTCTCTATTATGTTTTTCATTTAGCTCCTTATCTCGATAAGTAAATCACAGTACTGCTTTTCTGAGTGAGAACGCACTTAACCCCTAACAACTTTTCAAAGAACTTAAAAACAATGGGAGCTATTTTTTTTTTTTATATATATTGATGAGTTTTTAATTACTATATTTTTATTGATAGTTATTATCAAATTTAAAAATTCAATAACATAACGTGATAAAGAATTTAATGCCGTTAATTTATGTCATAAATTTTTTTGTCAACTATCCAATTTATTATAACGATCTATTTACTAATGAGTATATGTAATCAACTGATATTATCGTTTTAACCACACGATATTAATTTAATAGTTATAATAAATTAAATATTTGATAAAAAAGTAATGAAATTAATAAAATTAAATTCTTATCATGGTATATCATCATATTTATATATTTAAAAATAACTACCGATAAAAATATAGCCGTTAAAAACTCGTCTATATATATAAAAAGCTGTTTTTATTTTGAGCTGGAAAAAAAAAATGGTTGATAAATATTATTCGTCAAGCATACAACCAGTGTAAAGAAAGTAAAACGGGGAAACCTAATACACCTTAATGATTGGAACTTAATCGTATATGTTAGCCCATGCTGGGGACAACAACTAATGATAGTCAATTTTGGTGGGGCTGCTTTTAACTTATCACCAAAGGTGAAAATCTCTTTAGTACCCGTAAAAAAGTAATGCCAACAAATTATATCTTTTTCCTTTTTTTTTTTTTTTTTGAGGAAAATTATTTCTTGTTATTAATCTATAAATTTAACGATATGATTTTCAAAATCAAAGAGACCGCTACGAAGATTAACAAGTACTTAATGCATGAAAATTCTATAACAAGTTATTAAAAATTATTATGCCAATAGAATACAACTTTATACGGCCAGCTTACATTAAAATCATAAGTTTAAACAAAAATCGACAGTTCAAAATTACATTACATTGATGCGATATTTTTCATACTCTATCCTATAATTCTCCAATTTATTTTTTTTTTAGCTAAATAATTCTCCAATTTCTTTTAATAATTGCAACTTATAATGCAATTTGAATCATGTGTTAAAGCTACGTCTTATGTTTCCTCTCACGCCTAAAATGGGCGACAAAATCTGATAACTAGAAACCAGGTCATATCCAGTGAAGCCATCATCTGGAAAACCAGCGGATGGCCGCCACGTGGCAAAACATGCTACGTAAAGAAATTACCACCAGAAATGGTAAAAGATGAAATGTGTGTTTAGAATTCGTTTTAAAATAATTTTATTTTTTATATGAAAATAAAAATGAAAATATTTTTAATTTGAGATAAAAATTATTTTTAAAAATGTGTTTAGTAATTTTATCAAGAGATTATTTATAATATAAAAAATATCGTTAATATCTCTCTTTGTTTGAGAGAAGAGAAAAAAAATAACTTATTTCTTATTTTATATTAAATTAAAAAATTATTTTTATTTTTAATTATACTACACGTTATTTTAAAATTATTTTTATTTTTTATTTTTTAAAAAATGTAAAAAACAAAAACAGAACAATTTCAAACAGGGCTGAAATTTTCTTTACAACTTTCCCAACGAGCCTCGTGAACCACTTTACAGATTTGAGTTTTTAATTTGAGTTGAGATGTGACATTTTATAAGAATTTTTTACTGTAACAAAAAAAGTTAAATATGACATTTTTAAAAAAATTTTTACTGTAAAAATTTAAAATTAAAAATTTAAATTGGTGAAATGAACGAGGCCACGTAGATAAGAACTCTAGACACATGTTCTTCTTTGGTGGTTCTTCTTTGGTCGACGTGGAGAAGAGGTAAGTGAATATGTGGCGACACGTTCGCGTTCACGCAATGCAAATCACCTTCACCAGTTATGAATGAGCTGTGCCATCTCCTGCTTTCTCGCAGACCGAGAGAAGAAAGAATAGGTCGTTTTTACAAGCAAGCCTATTATAATTGTTTGACTCTCAAGGATAACGATGGTTCTACTAAGTCACACGTGTTAAACATTTAAAATCCTAATACAAATTAGTGAAAGAAATATTAATCATGTTTTGAATCGTTGAAGACGGAAAAAAAAAAATACTGCGTCAAAATATTTGTTCTCAATTATGTGGTCACTGGCTTAATTTGGTATTCATGATTATTCTTATTTTCAAAGGCACATAATATTCACAATTACTTCAAGTGTTTGATGTTTTAAGTTCGAATTTCTCGTCAATCTCTTCGTAGAGAAAATTTATAATGTGTTTGTTTTTGACTATCAACAAATATGAATTTACGTTACACGCCTAACATCTGTGTTTGTAAAACATTTTACTACAGCACAACTTCAAATTTTTCCCTTCCACCAAAAAAAAAAAAAAAATTCATGTTTTTCTTTTCTCCCTTTTGATTAGTTGGTTTGACGTATTCTCGAGAGATAGTTTATATTTATATATTATTGCTGATGCCAAATTGTAAATGCACACATGGCTCACACTTCGCAAATTGGTCTTTTTTTTCTTTTTTATTCTTAAAGGAAAAGGCAAAGTTTCATTTTCTTTTTGAAATTTTTATGCTTGAATCACAAAATTGTACGATTACGCATGAAAGATTATCTAGAATAAAAAGGAACGCAATAATTGTGACAAAATTTTGAGGGGAAAACAGTGAAATTTGTCTAATTTTTTTTTGCTAGAATCTATATTTTTTTTTGTTTAACTACAATATAATTTTGATATAATCTAAGTTTGTAAACTTACATTACTAAAAACATCATATGAGGACTGTCAATTTAAGTAGCGACGCGATTTAAAATCTACACGAAGTTAACAGGTTTGAATTTATCATAAATAAGTTTAGGTCAAAATCAAGTTGAACTCATGAAACACAATTAAATAGTTGTCAGTTTCAGGTTGACTTGTCAACCCACAATTGATATGCCGTAACCTGTTTATTAAACGTGCTATATATAAGTAACACGAATACACAACACAATTACAACCCGTTTGTTACCTATGTTTATAAATATATATTTTTCTTAAAGAAAAACATCTTGAGAAATAGAATGACACGACCTTATTATTACTCATTTTATAAATGAATTAATAAACGAATTATTAGAAATTAGTTGACACAATATTATTATGACTCATTTAATAAATAAATATATCGTGTCGTATTATATCAACTCATTAATATGTAAAATATATTTAAATTTTATATTTTAATATAAATAATAAATAAGTTATATTCGTATCAAATTTTATTATATTAATTAAAAAAATCAACATAATACAAACACGACACTTACATTACAATACGAATTGTCACCTCTACACCGCGTAAAGGCCCATGAACATAATCATGGTCGCACTCTATCCCAGCTCTAGTCAGCATCAACAGTCCAACCTCCCTGTATAAATTTTCTTATGCTTGTACGGCAACGATTATTTTGATGATCAAAGCTACCTAACCACGTGTACGGTGATCAGGATATGTCTTGGGGATATTTCATCTCGTGAATGTAACACCATCAATATCTCGACTACAAACGTATCTATTCCAGAGATAATAAACGGATCCTTTCAAAAATCACGAGTTTTTTTAGTTAATACGGAAAAAATACATTAATTCCAAAATTAATTTTCTCAAAACGTACGATGCACACGAATCAAGACAGCGAATATTCGAGAACGTAAGGTAGAATTAGTTTCTCGTTCGTAACATTACCACGAGTTTCTCTCACGGTTTTTCCAAAAGAACGTGAAAATATTGCGGTATATTCAATATAACGTTCGTCTTCCTCACTGTTTACCCTATATAAGGAAAAAGCGCCTCGTTTTGTTTCTGCACTCAAACGGGAAATCTTTTTATTTTCTCTGATTGCAGGGAGAGGAAAAAAAAAAAAAAAAACTCGAAAGAGTTTATTTCTTCTCAACAATGGCGTCCAAGAAAACCCTAGCCCAGCGTCTCTTCAACATATGCAAAACCTCCTCCAAAAGCCTCACGAATAGCCGTCGGATCCCTAATCGAGCAAGTATTGCCCCGGATCCTGGTGACAATGCCATTTTCAGCCGGTTCCTCCACAAGAGGGCGACTTCGCCGGCGACTTCGCCGGAGCTCCGGTCGCTTCCGGCGGGAGAAAGCCTGATCGAGAAGATCAAGGAAATCGGCATTGCGAGAGATCGCCTCCGATTCGACGGCCTGACTCCGCCGGAAATTTCGCCGGAAGAGAAATCTGACTTGAAGGTGGCAAATATGAGGAAGTTCCTTAGGGTGGCGCCGTTGGAGGCTGTGAAATCGAGGCTGAGAGAGCTTCAGAAGACCTGGATTCCGTACTCGGACTTTGTACGGATCTGCGGTGAAGGCTCTCCTGGTCAGGATGATCAGGGACGTAGTTTCGCGAAAATGCTCGAAGACAGTGGAAGCGTTGTCGTTCACGGTGACATCGTATTCCTCAGACCAGAACAGGTGAATTCTTGTTCCTTGATAGATTCTTAATCCTTTGAATGCTACTAAAAATAAATGTTTTTTCTATTCATTTTCATTTTCATTTTATTCTGTTCTCTGTGATGATTTCAGATTAGATTGTCATGGTCTTGATCTGAAAGGGTTTCATTGTTCATTTCGGGAAAAATTACGTATTGTTATTGTTTTTATCTTTCAAAATTCTTTCAATTTGGGGAACTGATAGTTTTTATCATTATTTTTGTGTTTTCTCTTTCGACAGGAAAATGAAACTTTTGTTTCGCCAGATCTTAACGTGATAAAGGGTACCACGTTTGAGATGGAACTTATTTGGAAGGACCAATAGAAACCATATCAGTTTCTTCAATGGCTGAAGATTTTTTTTTTTCCCACTTGCTTATGGTGGTTAAACCCAGGGCATCTAGTCCTCTAAAAAATTTTCACAAATTTTTTTTTTTTTAAATAAAACCCAGGTTCAATGAGGTAAAGGACTAAAAATGGATCCTTTGCCCTAAAAAATAAAAAAAAATAAAAGAGGTAGAGGACTTTTTCAAAACTGAAATGTTAATATGGCCCTTTCACCTATCAGTCAATAAAAGAAAAGAGAAACTTAATACAGAAGAAAATTTTATCTCTTTTAACGGCACAAAAATGAAAAAGGGGAGGGATAACTAGCAAGCAATACAGAATGGGCAAATTTCTTTTATTTTCTTTAAGAAAAAAAAAGCTACATAAATTTTCAATTTTCCATTTTTTTTATGAATTGTTTTCCATTTTCGTGTTAGCGTTTATTGGGATTTATTTTCTACAGAATTGGCAAATTTTGATTTTCCTTCTTTTTTTTTTTCATATACTAACATTATTAGTTTGTGCCGTTGGTGTGTGCCTCAGCCTTACCATTTTGGTCGGTGTGAAGTTGTCAAAAATAGACTTTTAGCTTTAGGGATGGGGCGGTGACATTCAAATAACCAAATTTTTAGTAAAGGCTAAATATATGACTTAAGAACAACAACACTTAATTAGCTAGGATGTTGATTTCCTTCATCAATCTAATTTCATGATGGTGTTACGTTGTGCTAAGAAGCATTCCTTGAAATAGTGTTATTATCTCATCACTACTAACTGTTTGATTGTCCTTCCCTCAATTTAGTCAATGAATGACTTTTGTCTAGACGGTCCCGGTTTGAGATTTGCCTTTCAACTAAGGATTCTGAATGCAACTTTTTTCTAACAAGAATTTGAATAAGTTTGCTTTTTTCTGTTTTGCTTTTGTTTTCTATCTTTTCCTCGAAAGTCATAACGAACCAAAAAGCCCAATAAGATTGCATCATACTTTAGGCCAGTCATCGTTTACCCAATACATTTCAAACTCTCTGGTTTCAGGTAGCCAATGCTTGGACCAATGCTCTCCAAGCACTAATTCAAGCAGCAGATTCCAACCCCAACGACACAGGAAGAAATGAGCTAGAAGAGATGGAGAAGCAGAAGTCCGAGATTGACGAGGAAGCGGACTCACTTGTCCGAAAGGAGCTCTTGGGCGGTCTTGGCTACCTTGTGGTCTCGACCGCCGGGTTGTTTAGGCTCACCTTTTGGGAGCTCTCATGGGATGTGATGGAACCCATTTGCTACTTCGTAACTTCCACGTACTTTATGGCTTGTTACGCCTTCTTCCTCAGGACCAGAACAGAGCCTTCTTTTGAAGGGATTTTTCGCAGCCGGTTTAGCGCAAAGCAGAGGCGCCTAATGGAGCTTCACAATTTTGATGTAGAGAGGTATAGTGAGCTGAAGAAAGCTTTTCATCCATACTCAACTCGCTTGCCGGCAACACCTCCTCAACCTTATTCTTCCTTTGATAAATCGGAGAAAGTGCAATTGGGTGTTGTACATGATCATTGATTTTACGTGATATACTCAAAATGAAATGAGAGACGAAATAGTACACATTTTTGTTTTAATCTTAGTTTCCCATGTCACGTATTACTACCATATCGGGAAGCGTATGATTAAAAAAAAAAAAACAGAATATATTAGAGATTTGTAATACCACTGTTATGGGATTGTGTAAAAATAAAAATAAAAATAACTTAAATAGTATAACATTCTACAAAAGGAAAGAGGTTAGGAAGATTTGGTCAACTTCTTTGGGTATGAGAAATGTTTAAGGACACTATCCATATTAAATATCATCATTAATAAAAATTAAATTTTATTTGTGAATCTATTTATATTAATAAGATAGTACTTAACACGCTCGCATGGTATTTCCAACTTTTTGTGAAGAAAATTAACCTTATTCGGTTTGGTTGACATTCAAATGGTGCGGCTTCAATGTGAACAAAGAGCAAGTACAAGAGGCAAAGTTGATGTTAGCAGTCGAATAGTAGTCCAATTGAGAATTAATGGACTTTGAATAGTAAAGCCTGAATTTTGGACCCCGTTAGACTGCTTAATTATCTAAGTACGCCGAATTTTTATATTGTGTTTCGTTTAACAAAAAAAAAGGATGATGATGGAAAGATGAGTAAAACAAATTGGTGATCATAGGATATGATTAATCGAGTTTTGAGCACCCATATTAAATACACAAAATGATATCATTTCTTTTGGGTAATGACGAACACTATATATAATTTGATACCTAACTTTTTTTAGGGAAATTTGATACCTAACTTGGTATTCAAATTATGTTAAAAAGGGTTATTTATTTTTTTTCCTTTTGGGTAGAATGTTAAAAGAAAGTTGGTGTAACATGTGCCATTGAATATCATCCACTTATAATTATGGAAACAATGTGAGATAATTTAGATTATCAATCCACAGTCTTCGAGGAAATTAGTAAAGCCCCGTGCCCAAATTTTGTGGAACCAAGTCCTATGTTCCTTTATTATTGTTACTTTTCACGTATTTTTAGTAATATTATGACACATCAATTAAAATATTATGTCAATTAAAATATTCTTATCACGTCAGAACAGAAAAAAAAGAACATATGAATACATTCCAAATTTTGTAGGGTGCTATAGCCAGGGAAAGGGTTCTTCCAAACAGGCTAAGAGTAATTTAATTTGACAGGTCCAATTTTTTATCCTTGGATTTGAAACGTTTGTATTGTTGTTGGATTCAAATACCGACATGAAAAAATTCACATGGCTGGTCCAAAATTATATGGTCCCCAATCAGCCACCGTCATATCCAATGTAGCCAAGGTAGCTGAACAGAAGAAATCTCCACGAAACTGGGTGGTTTTTTCCCCAGAATATGAAATTACTAATGCAAGGATGGAATCTTTTAATTAATACTAAATAAATCAGATTATTATTATATAGCCAACACATATCCTGATATCCTTCCTTATAGTTCCTATCCAATCCCTATACAAAATGCTCAATACCGACCCAATTCATTGTCACTCCTAATATACGTTTAGGGATACACAAATTCCACGCTACAGAATTGAAAAAATAAATTTAAAAAAATTCCGGGCTTAATTCCTTCTCTGTTGGAACTAATAAAGAATTATAAATTGATTTTTTTTTTCTGTGTCTTTCAATGATAAATATTGGTGACTTGAAGTATGGTAATGCGATGGATAGCATGGCCCTGTTTTGTGGCTAGGAGGGGAAGAACCTATTAATTTATTTTTTAAATTTTCTTTTCTTCTCCAAGTTTTCGAGCTTGCCTTTCATTTTATAGGTGCCATTAAGTAATGAGTTATTTTATTCACCGGGGTCCATACAATTCTTAAAAGAGAAGAAAACTAGTTCTAATTTCTTAAAGTTCATTTATGCTTATTTTCATGGTCTTAATTTTTGAGAAAAGAATACATCATCTTATTATTTATGCTATAAAAAAAATATTCTGCCAAAAAAATATTCTTATAGAAATAAATTTAATATTGATGACAACAATAAAATAATGTTATATTTTTGTATGACCTTCTTGAAAATTTTTCATATTTTTAAGATACTTATTTTTATGGTTTTTGAGATCAATGTCGTTTTCTCTTTTTCTACTGAAGTATAAAATTAAGGGTAATCTTAATAAATATTCTTAAAAATGTATGAGTCAGGATTTTTATATTTTATTTTTAATTCATAACTTTTTTAGTTAAATAATTATACTAATAAAAGGATATTTATAAAAAATAAAATGTAAAAAATTCATACTCATGTACTCTAAAAGGTAAATTTTACATTTTCTCTAAAATTCAAAGCCAATAGAGGATATTTACAAAAATATTACAATCAAACTTTTGGATTGACTTTTGCAAAAACATTCCCGCAGAATAAGGCACGACCACATATTAATGAAAATACCAACAATTTTAAAGGGAGATTGAGGCGAATAGTAATTTTGAGAGCGTTAATTAAAATTAAGGAAAATTTTATTTTGGTATCTTATGATATATTAAAATTTGAGCTTCATATTTTCTATTTTTAAAAATTTTTAAAAAATCTTTTTTTAGTACCTTGAAGCCATTTTTTAGGACACAAAAAGATAAAATTATCATTATTATAAAAATTCATCCGTTGGCCAGAATTTTGAAGGAAAAAAATGATTTTAAAAATTATTATACTTGTAGAGCATAATCATTTTTTTAAAATTTCATCTCTCCAAAATCTTTTTTAAAATCATATTTTTTTTTAAATTCTAGTGAATTGATGAATTTTTACGATATGGATAATTTTATCTTTTTGTGTCCTAAAAATTGGCTCCGAGATACCAAAAAAAAAAATTTTTAAAATGTCGAGGTGCCGACGTGAAATTTTTAAAAATAGAGAATATCAAACTCAAATTTCAATACAAAGTACCAAAATGAAAATTTTTCTTAAAATTATTAGCATATTTTAAAATACAATCTAATAAATGGAAGATTTGTATAAATCTTTAATTTTAACGTAACCAAATACCCCAAATACCCATTTTCATTAAAAAAAACTATGAATTCATTTAAAACATATATTTAAATTATGATTTAATTTTATCTACAAAAATTTTATAAGAGAAAAAATTTTAAAATTTAAATTTTTATAAGATAAAATTACGATAGCAGAATTATAATTTTAGTTTAAGTAGGTGCAAACAACCCTCTATTTCTCTCTCTCGCTCCTCTCTTTGATTCTCTCTCTCACTCTCCCCCTCTCTCTCTCTTCTTTTTATCTCTCTCGCCCTCTCTCTCCTTGCTTGAAATAGAGATCTCAGAACAACAAATCTACAATGACAGTGACGTTGAAGCCTATTTGTCAAACAGACGCCATTGATGGTGCGAGAGAGAGAAAGTAGCAACAGAGAGCGTCAGAGAGAGAGAGAAATTGCGAGAGAACAAAGGGGGAGAGAGAGAGCGCGAGGGACAAAGAGAGAAAACGTGGGAGAGAAAGAGCGCGCAAAGAAACAGAGGGAGAGAAAGAACACGAGGGACAGAGAGAGGACAAAGAGAGAATATGGGAGAGAGAACACGTGGAGAGCAAGAGAAAGAGAGAACTTTTAGGGATTTAGGGGACGTTTGGTTCATGAATTCATAATTATGATTCAAAATCATTCTCATTTTACGTGTATTTTTTGTGAGAGAAAATACTGTAGCGAGCTACAAACCATGATTCGAATCATGGCACGAATCTTCTTTCTAAACGTTCCCTAGGTTTTTAAATTGATGAGATTTTTTAGGGTTCAATATTAACTCCAATAAATGTGAGTAAAATAGGAAAAATAAATTCAAATTTCAAAGAATATGCTCTTTACTCACTTGATAAAATTATGTTATTTAAGGAACCTATTATATATTATAATTTCTGCAATTTTGCTCAGAGTAACTTACCATGATACTAGCAGTAGCCCATCAGGTGATCGAAGGTATCTTCGTAATACCACAGCTCTCACTAGCAAGATCTCTTTACAGAATAGTAACAATTGACGTAAGGCGTTGTAAGAGGTCTTTCGTTACAATAGGGGAACATGACAATGCACGATTTGGTGGTTGTAATAAAGCAGCAACATAGTGGAATTTGATTTCAAAAACTTTTATAACTAGCCAGAATCTCACATTTATTACTTGCATAAAATAATTAATCGTAAGCATAAGTTAGTTACCTAATTGCAACAATAAACAATGCTCGAATCGTGGTAGTCACTCCAAGGCTTCTCTACCTTTGGCCTTCCACGCTATTCTCTAGTCATTAGATTACTGGTGTGTCCCCCAATTAATTCTTCTCAATTATCAGTTTTCTCCATCCAACCTCTAGTGGCTATGCCTTCTTTTTCTCCGTAGGGGAAAAACTAGGAAACATTGATGACAGTTAAAAAAAAAAAAAAGACATAATTTTTTCAGACACAATAAAAAGGCCTTTTCTAGCACTACGTCTAGACTGAGAATACATAAATACATTTAAGAGAAGCGAATGTATGAAAAAAAAAAAAAAAAAAAAAGTTTTGTCCATATATATAATTAATTACCATGTGATGCGATCCTTTACTATGAATATCAATTAAAATTGGATAAATAATTCTATTTTAATGTCTCTAATTATATCTTTATCTATCAGTTCCATTAATTCATTCTTTAGTGAGTGTTTTACCTTAGAACAAAATTATATATAAAGTTTAGTATATCCAATTAACACGAGACTCCATTCACTCAAGATTCCCTAATTGATGCCTTTTGAGAATATCATTATTCTTTAGTATTGAAGTTGTGAATTCCATGTCTATAATTGATGTTCTCAACAATCCAAAGTAATATGCTTCTAAGAGCATTTTCAAAATTTTAACTAAAATAGCTAAAAAGTAATTTTAACTAGTACTTTTTGATTTACTCCAACTATACTCCCTATTTTAGTTAAATATAGATTATTTTAATATTTATTAAATTTAAAATATAAATAACTTTATTGAATTAAAAAAAAACCTTTACATTTATTATGATTGAGAGAATAAAATAATATAAAAAATAAAATGGCTAGCCTCTTCATGCTAGTTATATTTAATTAGCATGAAGTGAATTCTCTAAAATAGCTAATGGTTAGAGTAGAGAAAAACTGGCCC